CCCAGGACTTGCTAATGCTGAGAGTCTGCTGACCTTTGCCATCGCTCCTGGATTTTGGTGCCCTGCTCAGGTTGCCAAGACCATGCATGGGGTTGAGATGCCAGTGTTGTGATGCTGAAATAATCCTCCCACAGTAATCATATAAGGTAGGCTACAGTCACATTTACCCAACCCAATCGCACATCCTCTGGGTGCCATGGATAACTTTCTTTTTAGTCCAGTGGTATGGCACAGTACTCATTCAGGTTGGATATAACAAAACATTTCTTCTCATAAAGAGCAGCGAGGCAGTGGCACAGGGGGTTGGTGGAGTGCTTGGAGGTGGTCAAGAACCACAAGTGTGGATGTGGCACTGAGGGACATGGTTAGTGGGCATGGTAATCTTAGTGCTCTTTTCCAACCTTAAGAATTCTCTGATTATATATTATGGTTCAATTAGGAGAAGGAAAAAAAACATTTGACAAACCAAAGGCAAAAAAATCTTGAAATGACTCCTCTCCTTTAAAGGGTAGAATCAAAAGAAGCAGCCAATAGAAAGAACTGAAAGACATAACCTGTAAATTCAATATTTTCATCTGTAGTCAACATCTGTTCCTTGAAGAGGAGCCAAAGGTAAAGCAATTTTCAAAGCCACAAGAGACCATGAAATCCCCTGGATGCAGTGTCATGGCACCAGGAACCTCAGCACTGCCACTGTCCTGACTTCTCTCTTTCTGTCCATATCACAGTCCATACCCAGCAAAATAGGTTGGTTTGTTTTTTTTTTTCCACTACAAAAGGCTTTTTTTTTCCCTAATAATTTTTAAATAACATGGCCTCCAAGTTAAAGCAGCATGTCAGTTAGAATACTGAGCTGTACATCAAATCTTAAAAGATGTGCTATATTTTATGCATGATTTTGACCACACATACATACAAAAAAAACCTTATACAATTTAGGGCAATGCTATAGGCAAATATAGAAGGGCTGCTCCAAAAGTAATGCCTCCTGTTTTATTTAGTTAGCTCACAATGTCAGAGGAGGATGTTGGTGGTATGGCACCACAGGTTGAAACCTCCTACCAATACTCCATTACATTTTGTAGCAGTGTGGCAGATGGCAGCAGAGGAGCAGTCTGACAAAATACTGACAAAACAGTGCATCGCTGAATTCCTCCATGGGGAAAAAAAAATGGCACCCATTGACACTCATCAACACTTGCTGAATGTTTATGGAGACCAAACAGTGGATGTGAGCACAGAGAGGTGGTAGGTGATGTGTTTCATTATTGGTGACAGCAGATCACTTCCACTGGTTCATATTCTTACTAGTGCAGAATGCAAGCTCTTGTTCATCAGTGGCAAAAACACATAGCTAATGGTAGTGTCTATATTGAAAAACGTTGCCCTGTAGCTGAGAATTTGCTCCATCTAACAGTATTATTGTGCTTTTTCTATCGCTTGTAGTTTCCATGAAAAAAATAATAGGAAGCATTAATTTTGAAATGATCTACGTAAATAAATATCTAGACAGCCAAAAATATTTACCACTATTAAACATGCTTCACATATAATATAGTTAGACTAGGCACAACTTTAGCACCAACAGCTCCATCTCTTTTGAAAAGGGTTTAAGAGTTTCCATCATAACTTATGGAGTAATTAGTTTGTTTTTATTTATTTGTTTTTACTATCTATGTTATCCATAGATTTTAACTCTTCCTTGTGAAGTGCTACTACCCATTCTCTGGTTTCCATAAGCACTACAAATAGAAGTCAAATACTCAAATTACTTTTATACACACTTCTTTTCAAAGTATGAAACTACAGTTATTGGACACTTTTCCAGGAAACTTTTCCAGGAAAGTTTCCCTGCAAACAGCACGTATGGTCCACACCAGATAAAGGCCTCTATTGCTCTATACCAGTTATAGGTTAAAATTTGAAATATATGTATAACTATGCAATGCTAAAGAGTTTTTTGATGCACACCTTGTCTCTGAATTAAGCAAGAACACCATCATGGATACACTGGAAAATACATCTTGTAAAAGTGTCGTGTTTTACATATGTACCACTTCAGATATGAATATTGCTGTTAATAGATCAGTGGAGTTTGATTGAAAGCAAAGAGAGAAATCGTACTGTATGAGCAATCCCAGAAGAAATGCCTCTAGTGGTTCAGAACATATTTCACCTGCCTCTGGCATGAGTTTCTGGATTAGTGTCATATACGTGTCAACATGAAACAACACAGGCTATTTGTTTATACATTCTTATTATTCCTCCTTTTGTTGTTCTTTGTTCTATTTTACACTGACAAAACATATGTAACGACATATTCAACCCAGTGAGTGCATTCCTTTGTCACGTACCTGCTAATCATAACCACTGAGCACAAACAAAGGGAAACTGAGGTAATGCTGTACAGAAGGCAACAAAATGGACAAGGACATAACAGTGCAGTTTGCATACTACTAACTAGAAATAGCATTGTGTAAAGACATTTTGATAAATAAGCGAACCAAACTGCAGCTTGGTTTTTAAGATTTAGCTGATAAAGATGCATGCAACCAAAGGTCTGTAGCTGATTCCATCAGTATTCAACCAAGAGAAGAAGAAAAATGCAGATCATGCCTGGCATTTTTTTTTTTTTTAATCAAATGTACTTTGTCAGCAGATCTTGGTGCTACATTTCTTTTTTTTTTCCCCATCCAGAAAGCTAGCAATCAGAATTTCTACTCTAAGATTTGAAGTTTTAAACCAGAACTCCATTGGAAATAGCTGCTATGATGTTTTATTTATACCCCTTAAAAAAAAAAAAAAACATTCTGAAACCTTGAACAGGCAAGGTGTGGTCAAACATGACTTCAGCTGAACTCCCCTTTTGGGGAAGACAGTGCATCTAATATGGCTGAAGCAGGCTTCCAACCACTAGGGTAGCTGGAAAAAAAAAAAAGAAAAGAAAATGGAACACCCTCTGCAGTTTCCATATCATTTGATCAAACAGAAGAGTCAGCAGCAATCCCATGACACATTTTACTTGGTGACAAAGCAACTTAATAAGCTTCTGCTCTCTGCCCCCATCTTCTCAAGCCATTCATTCCTGCCCCTGGGCTGCAGTCCAGTACACTCTCATTGGCCTGACATAACCATAGATCTAAGCTTTTAAGGTGAATAAAAAGTACCTATTCCCTCCCCAAAAAAGCTATTTTTGTAATTAAATTTTACTGCTCATCTGGACTTCTACAAAACTGTACAACCTCAACCAGGGCAAAAGGAACTCCAGCAAGAAAAAAAGTGATCATTAAGTAAGTTTTCCCTGATGGAAAAGCTTATCTTGAAACTAGAGCCTGTAATGGCAAAGTTTAGCATTAGGTATATAAACCAAGAATCTGAAAATGTTTATGTTCTTCCATCGTCAGAACAAAGCAGAAAATTATACTGACTCATAAGAGTTAGACGGAATTGACTCTTTGCCATTGTAATAGACATTGTCAATTTAAAAGGAGAGGAGAGGGAGGACTTCACCAAGGGGGCACGCAGCAGTGACTAGAGCAAGAGAGTGTGGATGCGGCTTAATGGAGACATGGTACTATGTCCAAAAGTCCATGGATGACCAGTCCTTGGGTGGGATGTCTAATGGATAGTACATCCTCTTCTTACCTGTCTCCTGCCCAGGGAAGAGCAAGGCAGCCCTTCTCCCTTCTCACCCTCATGGGTACTATTTGCTGCCTCACAGCTAACCACTTAGTTCAGGACTGGAGGCAATCTGAAAGTAAAGAGGCAGCAAACTTGCTGTAAAGTGCAAGCAAAATCTTGATATACTTCATTGATGCCTAAGCATTTTAACTAGCATACTGGCAGTGTGATAGCCTCACTGGAAAAAGCTGGTTTCGC